CCTTTAAAAAAGAATCTTCCTAAGATGTTAGGGTTTGGGGGTTTTGTTATCTCCAGATGACGTTAAACTCTAAAGTCTTGACTTGTATTTTAATACTTGCTTTTCATGTTTTGGAAGATCCTGATGTGTAGATCAGCATCCCCAGGGTTCCACTTCATCTCCCTTGTCTTTGTGGTCCATTCAGAACTGTAAATTGCTGATAGCTGGTTGAGCCTGGTCCCAGCTGTCCATGGGACTCTGCCATGCCTGCAATGATTCTGCCGAGCCTGCAGTGAGATGAGTAGAGGGAATGACCATAAGCTGAGATGGGAGATTCAGAGTAGATATTAGGAAGAATTTCTTCACTGTTAGGGTGGTGAGGAATTGGAATAGATTGCCCAGGGAGATGGTGGAGTCACCATCCCTGGAAGTGTTCAAGAGGCATCTGGATCTGGTGCTGGAAGATACGGTTTAGGTCACAGTGGAGCGACAGGTTAACAGTTGGACTTGATGATCTTAAAGGTCTCTTTCAACCTTGATTTTATGATTCTAAGATTTGTTCATCTCTGGATTCCTGCTTAAGAGCTGACTCCTAGTTAATGTGGATGGTTGAAGCCTGTGCATGAGAAAGGGAGTGAGCTGCTATGGCAGTGTGGGCACACACTGAGCTAGAGACACACCAGGGAGTGCTGTCCAACCGTCGCTGCTTCTGCTGCTGCAGCCGTGCAGCAGGGCGTGATGAGGGCAAGATGGACTGTGAGTTTGTAGCTGTGTTCTGTATTTGAAGAGGCTGGTCACAGCTTCCTTGACTTCAGAAAGTTTACAGGGGTGCTTCCTATGTTTATAACTACAGATCAGCTGGTTTAGTAAGGATGGGAATGGAGCCTTTTTTTTCCCACAGGCTACTAGCTGTTGCCAACAGGCTCCAGTACACCCTCCCTTTATGCCTAGTTAATAGGGAGCAGCAAGAGGAGCAGAAATGTCATTCTTCATACAGGTAAAAGGAAAGAAAAAAAAAGCTGGGAGGGGTGTTTCTCAATCCAGAACTTGCACTGACTGTGGCCAAGAAGAAAGGGTGAGACTTCAGTGCGAGTAGTGTAATGAGTAAGACCCTGTTTGTTAATCAAATCTTGCTTGCTTGCTTAAATACACCAACATTTAATACCACTAAAATTGCATTTGGTGAATTAGAAACATGAATTAATAGATGTATCCAAATTTCTGAGCTATCAACATGCCTTTGGTCCTCATCATTACCTCTAAGTGTCACGAGCCACAGTTTGTTACACAGACTTGGTCTCCCGGGACTTGGCCGGCTTAGTTAGCCAGAAGCAAGACTGTGGGTGTAGGCACTGTAAAACTGTTGTCTGTGTACAGTGGATATTGTTGGGTTGCAAGATAAGGGACGGACTCACGGCAGAATGTGTGGCTGTACGAGAAAAGGTATGTGTATCGAGACCCCCAGAAGAAGACTATGTGGCTGCACCCCACGACCACCAGAGAAGGACAGACAACTCCCTCGCAACAGCAATTGCATGCAGAGCAAAACTTGTATCAGGGAATAAAACTGGGGGGGATTTCTCAGAAATGGGACAATGGTTGGATAAAAGGGGGAGCTAAAACCCAGCAAGGTGTGCACTGTTGGTGGAGCAGGCACTCCCCGGCCGCACAGCGCTGTTTTGCTTGCTGTCACTTGCTCAATAAATAAATTTTCCTAAATTGGACTGGCTTCTGCCAATTTATTGGGCCACAATTTATAACAAGTAGTAGTTGACTGGACCCGTCAGAATTGTTCACTAGTGAATTCAGAGTTGTGCATTGAATTCTCAGGCTTATGTGGGGAAACCAGTAGTGACTTGCCCCTTTCTGCAGGCAGTTGTTGCTTTGGACAGCTCTCCTTGATGTAGATGTGTTTCCAGTCTGATTGCATCAGCTGCCTTCCTGTTCCCAGGCTCGAAGGAAAGACTGCTTCCCTAGGGAGTACTCAGATGGAGCAGAGTTGCATTTCTCTGTTGCTTCTCCTATGCTTTCACAGTGTGTATTGCTGCATCTTGTTCTGCTCTGGATAATGCTTTATGTGAATTGTTTCATGGGACAGTTTATATTTAAGCTTTATAGAATTGCCTTCATTGTGCTATTACCTGATTAGTGGCTGTGAATGAAGCAAGTGGAAGTTGATGTAGGTGTTTGGCATATGGATTCATGGTAAGGCTGAATGGGAAGATGGAGTGGGGAGCTGGTGAGGGTGTAAGGCATCTTTGTAGTCTGTGGACTGTGGTGGAAAAACTTCATTAACATTTTTGAGGAAGGTGAATCCAAGGAGTGTTTACTGTTGCTGGCAAGGAGGGGGAAAGGTGTCAGGTACTCGTGGTAATACTACTAGAGACATTGGTATTTCACCAAGCATTTCAGCATGGTTAGAGATGATAAATGTGGGCATTAGTGTTCTGTGTATACATACAAATTATCCTGGAGAAATCAATCAATACACTGTTTGTATGTAAATCATCCCAGTGGAAGAGCATGGGACTGCTCTGGAAGAGCCCTAGTGCAGCTACCCACAGGGGAGACCAGAAGCCTGAGAAAATCTGTAGCTTGTGCTGCCAAAAATGTCTCTCTTCCATTTTATTTCTTGGAATGGACAGGAACAGGGAGAGCTGGTTGACTTTCTGCTTGAAAGTACCTTTATGTGGTACTGCCATAGCTGATGGGAACTGCTCAAGTGTGTGCCTAGTACCATATGTGACTGTTGGAAGAGGGCAGTTTTTATTCCTGCAGTCACTGGGATCCTGTAAAACCTTGTGAGCAATGAAGGGTAGCAGAGGTCACTGCCCATCTACAAAAACACACCTGGATGCAGAAAGTGTTTACACATGATAAAAGCAACATATGCAGACTACAGTTGTGTATCTACCAAATATGTGGCCGTTTGGTTTTGTCTCCATCCTTCCTTTTTTTGACAGTCCACAAGATACCCATTCAAGTGCAATGTGGTGTGAGTGATGGACTTGGCATGCCAAGTACTTATGCTGTAAAATAAAGAATTACAGTTTGTACTTATGTCTTACCTTGTACTTAAAAGGACTTCAGAAGAAGAGAGAGTTTGCCTGGCTAACCTGAAGTGGAAAGCCCTCACATGATAGCATAATTAGGTTGAGATAAATGACATTTTTATGGTTTTTTCATTGTAAATGCCAAGAATTATGGATCATTCTTGTTGGCAAGCTAAACCCAGACATTCAGCATTTTCAGCCATAAATTCAGTATAATGCTGAATGTTGAACTTTCGCTGTGGTTGAACTGTGTCTCTGATGTTGTGTCACAGATTTCAGGTGTCTTTTTTGTTACAGGAAGATCTGAATTTGACATGCTTAGTAAAGCTTTGTACTTATTTTGCATTCAGACTTTTGTGTTTGGAAAAAAAGAAAAAGCTCACAAACCATTTAGACCATAAAGCTTTTCTAATGAAATTACATTGATTATTGAAAATTACCATAATTGTAACTGTGCCTCTTTATGGTTTGAGGCAGGTTTGTTACTGTTTGATCTCAGGCACTGATTTTGGTGTGATTGAGAGCATACTTTTAAATTGCTGCTATCTGTATTCATGCTCTGTGTGTTCTTAGAGCAGAAATCAGCCTTAAAATGTCAGTGGTCTAGTCTGCAAGAATCCTACAAGGATAAAAAGCTAGGGAGAATATTTTGAAAGTGCTTATTGATTTGAAATTACAAAGTCATTGTACAAACTACTTCGCTTCAGTGTTATTGTCATCAGCAGTGCAGCTCAGTTTGTCAGATTACTCCTGCTGCAGAGACTGCCAAATAAGTGTCTTCTTCCTGGCATGATTCTTCTTTCCCCATCAATTCCATTTTGCAATGCTTCCCTCACATTTCAAGTTCTATCTTTAAAAGAAACTATTTGCAAAAAAAACCCCCATGGAAAATAGATATATCAGGTGGTGGTTTTGTGTGTAATAATGTAATGCAACATTCTAAGTTTTATCTACTGATCTTGTCACAGCTCTGTTCTAATCCTGAAGCCTTTTTTTGTATTTTCTTCTGGGCCCTGTAATTAGCATATTCTGGATGAAATTGTGCACTGTAACTGCCATAGCATGAAGTGTTCCTAGGCTGATGGCTGGCTGGCTTTAATGATCTTGATTCTTGCCTGTGGGAAAGGCCAGAAATGATGCAGGTATAATTTAGATAACTGTGGGATGAACTACCTAAATTGAAAACCTTATCCTCCACTGCCTTTGGCAAGAATCTATCCACCAGAGTAATAATTTTTCCTGCCTTAAAGGCCTACATTAGAGGGTTCTTCTGAGAAGAAAGTCCCTTCCTGGAGTTGATGTGGTAATGTCCTTTAAAACTGCTTATTCCTTGGCTCATGGGCTGGAAGTGTTGATCTCTATTACGCTCTTTAAATGTGTTGCAATAATCTAGAATGGAAAAGATATTAAAATAGGGAAAAAAAATTAAATAAATCTTAGGAGACCATAGGAAATATTTCTTGTGTGATGTGATGTAGTGCTACTCAGTTGTGAAATTAGATCATATTGCAGCATTTATTAATTGGGTCATATATCTGATGCCAAGTTTCGAATCGTGGGTGCTTGATAAAGTGATAGCAGAACTTGAAAAGCTTGTTTTTATGTTTAAGAGCAATATGCATCTTATAAATGTCTGACAATTGAAAACAGATTGTTGCAATTTAGTAGTTTTAAGCACGCTTTGAGTAGGAAGATATTTTCTTGTTATGCTCTGTATGGATTAGCTTAACTTTTAAGTCTTGACAGGCCAGTTTTTGTAATTCAGCACTTTTACTTCAAGGCAGAGTTGAAATCTATGCAACCATTTTCTTCTGTAGTCAGAAACTTTTAATGTTATAACAAATATTACACAGTAGGACCCTTCAGTCAGTCTGGATTGTGGATTCAGGAAAATAAAAGGCAGGATTCATGAGGCTGTCTGTCAGAACTGTAAAATGAAATTCAGTTATGGTCTGTCTTTCTTTTCAGATCTCATAAATGGAGCCCAAGAACAGTGTGAATTGCCTCCTATGGATGGTTTTCCTCACTGTGAAGGGAAAATAAAGGTGAGTGAACAGGTATTAATCTTGTGTGTTCTGTTAAAAACTCGTATGTTGCAAGAGGTCACTGCTCAGACAGGGGTGTAAAACAAGAATAGCAGAGTGAAAAAGAGGATATTGAGGAGTATGTGTCACTACAGCACTGTTCACCTCGAGGCTTTCAATACTGCTGCTGCAGAGAAATCAAGTGACATCCTGTTAAGATGGGAGAAATTGCCATTATGTATTAAAATGCTATATTATTTCATGAAATGCCTGATTATTTGAATCATAGAATCAACCAGGTTAGAAAAGACCTCCTAGATCATCAAGTCCAACCCTACTGTGGTCACTAGACCATGGCACTAAGTGCCACATCCAGGCTCAGCTTGAAAACCTCCAGGGATGGTGAATCTACCACCTCCCTGGGCAGCACATTCCAATGTCTGATCACTCTCTCTGTAAAAAATCTCTTCCTAATATCCAACCTAACCCTTCCCTGGCAGAGCTTGAGTCTGTGCCCTTTTGTCCTACTGCTGGTTGCCTGGGAGCTTGGAGCAACCTGTTCAAGTGGAAGGTGTCCCTGCCCATGGCAGGGGGTTGGAGCTAGATGGTCTTGAAGGTCTTTCCAACCCAAAGCATTCTGTGACTCTGATTAGTGGGGAACAAAAGTAAAATTGCTGCATGCTTAACTGCCGGAGTATTTGTGATATTATGTTGCCTTTTCTTCCTCTAAATAAAATTCTTAGATTTAAAAGAAAAATCTGTATGTTTTAAGTCTCTGTGTTTCGATCTGTTTTGACAGACTGGCTGCATAGTGAGTATATAATAGATTATTTGAATATTAAAATATGAATTGAAATTAATTACTTGCTCCTGCAGAAATGGCAGATTCTTGGCAGAATCAGGCAGGTTTCAATCTTGGTAGCTGACATGATCTGTTAAATTCTAGAGTAGGTCTCTCCTGGGGGGGCCTCACAATGCAGCCACAGCCATATGTCTGGATCCTGATTATATTCTCTTCCTGATATTTGTCTCTGCTTCCCTGGCTACCAGTTGGTATAAGCTGTGCTCACAGCTGCTGTGTTGTTGCTTTTTCCAGTGTACTGAATGCAGAGCTGCAGAATGCTGCAAAATATTAATAACATTCCCTTTTTTGTTATCTGTGATTTTTATCTAGTTGGTTATAGTTACTTGCAGCTTCTCTCATTGTTCCTGGGTTTGGTGTGAAATAGATATTTTATTGTACTTAAACCTAACAGACTGTGTTTTTGTTCTCTTACAGTGGATGAAAGATATGTGGAGATCAGATCCCTGTTATGCAAGCTATGGTGTAGATGGGTCCACATGCTCCTTTTTTATTTACCTCAGTGAGGTCAGTAATATTTTAATCTGCAGATGGGGAATATCATATTGCCTTCATAGATTTGGTAACTGTATTTTTCTCAAATCATAACTTTCTTCAGAAAAACTCTATAAAGAGGCAAAAGTTACTGAAACAGAATTATTATGAAGTGTGTTGCTATTATTCATAAGCTCTCCAGGGGTTTTTAGCCTGGAGAATTCTAATGTTTGTAACTGAAGTGATATAAGCAGCAGCTCTCCAGGGAGTCCACACTAGGCATCCTGTTAAACCCAAGTATGAAGCTCAGTCATAGATCTTTGCCTTTGAATGCTTTTTCTCTTGCTTTCAATGTAGCTGCTGAGGTACTAATAGGGAGGCATTTTAGGGGAGGCATTTGGAAAGTGGAACGAGATGGTACATTGTCCTAAGCAGCATGGCCACTTCATGCTTGGAGACTGTGATCTGTGGAATCTGTTAACAGAAGAGGAAACCCCTAAATGTTCCATTTTTAAGTGAAGTTTGTGAACTGCGGAATCTGTTAATAGAAGAGGAAATCCCTAAATGTTCCATTTTTAAGTGAAGTTGCAGATATATTGGCTAAAGCTTTTGGTACCTGTCAGAACCAAAGCTGGTTTGTACACAGCTGAGTAAGGTACTTGTCCTGGTGGTTTTTTTCCTATTGCCTGAGTAACACTTGCTTTCTAAGAATTAACTTTGTCAGTCAGTTATTCTGAGCTCTGTTACTGGCTTGAGGGGTGGGGTATGCGCCAGCTCAGGTGTATGTGATCACTTAACCTCTTCTTACTTACTAGTAAAATTTTGATAACTTAGGGCAACTGATCTTAGAAGTAATGTTGATAACCATTGGCTTACTCCTTGTACAGAGCTGCAAGAGCCAACAAGGCTGCAGAATTGCAAACTAATACTAATTTCATAACTTCTGCAGGATTGGGGGAGTGGGGCTGGGTTTTTGAGTTATGCCTGAGGTTAAGACAGTGAGTCTATTATAACAAGTAACTTGGTTTAATAAAAGCAGTTTCTGTTAATTTGCTCAGCTGAGTGTCATTGAACTTTTGGGGACATTGCTTGAAGCAGCAATACTTGAGTACCTCTCCAAAACATGTATCTGAAGACATAAAATAGGCTAGGTTGAATCACAGATTTGACTCATTCCATTTCCAGTACTGAGTGTTGGTTTGTTTATGGGCTATGAAGCTGGGGAAAAGATACAGGATGACTGTATTATTTATCTTGTTATTTATCATAGAAGCTAGAGATATGGTTTCATAATCATTTGAAGCTGATTTAAGTTTCCACTAGAAGGTTATGTTTTAGCATCGACAGAGTTAGATTTGGTCATTAGTATCCTGTCAGCCAGCAGGTGCTTCATGTTTTTAATGCAGATGCATCTCAAAAATGAGGATGTATCTCAACGAAATGTGAGAATCTAATATTCCTAAATGACATTTATTATTTTGTATTTCTGTTAAGTCACAGGGTTTTACGTGACAGTCTTCCCTGGTCATCAGTTTTGAGAATTCAGTCGATGCCGCTAGCTTTTTCATAATTGATCTTGCATGGCAAGATGCAAACAGACTTACAGAGGCCAAGTGGTTGTTTTTTCAAGGTTCTTGAGGTTTGAATTTTTTCTTTAAGCAGCAGTATTGAATTTGGGCAGCTTTTCGTTTCATGATGGAACAACACTACAATTAATCTGTGTGTATATTTGGTAACTTCAGACAAAGGTCTTGTCCATTTTTTTTTTTTTTTAGAGTGTTTTCTCGTGACAGAATGTAAAACTAATATTGGGTGAGCATGTTATTAACCTTGAGTTTAAATTTGGCATTCTTAATCCTATGATTAATTTCATGATTAATGCCCAGCAGCAGAGGTTGAAAGCTTAAATGTTTGCGAATGCAAGCATGAAATGAAATTCTAATAACACTACAATGATGTGGATTTATGAGGTGTGTTGGCTGCTAGGGATAACTTGGAAATGCTGTTGCGAGAGCAATTTGTCAAAGTGGACAGTGATGAAGAGTTGACAGTTTATAGTATGGTTGCACAGCTGAATGATAAATGTGTCTGCAGAGCTCTCAAGTCAAAACTGCTGATTTAAAATATTAAAATGCATTAGGGTACCGGAAAGGATATTACTGTTATGATTTTTCTTTTTTACTTCTAGGTTGCAGTATAGGAGTAAGATGGTTGTGTACACATCATGTTCTGTTTGAAAAGGCAATATATGTATCAAATTATGCACAACCTCAGTTTGAAAAGACAGTGTGCATCAAATTGTGCATATGCCTGTTTTGCATGTAAAATCACCTCAATCTAGTGTGACAAGGGCCTGTGCTCTTTCATACTCTTTTGGGATCTATCTTTTATCTTCAGAAGCAGTTCAGTTAGGGTATTACATTATGCTCATCTAGTCCTCTGTAATGTAATTTTTAACTTGTAAACAAAGGAGCCCAAAATAGTACATCTTGATGTGTAATATGGGTCAGAACCACAGAGATACAAAGTAACTTGCCCACAGTTTATGTAAAGGTTTAGAAACAAAAAGGCTGGAATAAACCCAGGCCTTAGGTATCTGTCACGTACTCTTGTTATGTTTCCACCACGTGTGTCTGCAAAACAAACAGCACCATCAAAATCCAGGCTGCCCCAGGTCTTCTGAAGAGCTTGCACAAGTGCAGGTGTTAGCAGTTCTGCCTCCTCTGCCTTGCTTTGGATGGCACTCCTGCAGAAACTTGGGAGCAGCTCAGTGAACAGCTCTTCTCCACTGCTTTTGTGTCTTGGCTGCTTGAGCGGAATGAGAGGTGAGTGCAGGACCCCAAGGAGAGCAAGAAGCAATTCAGCATGTTCAGGCTTACAGGGGTTTTTTATTTAAAGCTGTTCCCTGTACACACCCCAAGGAGAGCAAGAAGCAACTCAGCATGTTCAGGCTTACAGGGTTTTTTTATTTAAAGCTGTTCCCTGTACAAACTTGCAGGTGAAGCTGCAAGAAATTTTGCACTTCTGTCTTGCTGTATTGCTGCAGGCACTGGATCATTCCTGGTGCATGATATGCAGCTGTGTGGTCATAGAGTCACAGAATGGTTTGGGTTGGAAGAGACCTTAAAGCTCATCTCATTCCAACCCTTCTGCCATGGGCAGGGGCCCCTTCACTAGCCCAGGTTGCTCCAAGCCTCATCCAACCTGGCCTTGAACACTTCTAGGGATGGAGCAGCCACAGCTTCTCTGGGTAACCTGTGCCAATGCCTCACCACCCTCTGGTCCTCAAAACACTAGTCCTTGAGCCTGTGAAGACTGGAGGAGACACAAATGGTCTGAATAACAAAACCAGCCTTCCATTCCCTCAAATAACAGAGCAAGATGGGGATTGAAACAGCAAAAGTTAAAAAGCAAGTTGAGCTAATACAAAAATTTCTGGAACCTTAGCATCTAGTTATGCAAAAGGCAGTTGTTTAACACTGTAATGGCATTGGCACAGTTTATAATTTTCACGGGTGGCATTGCCTCTGGGAAGAAATATGGAAAAACTAATTCTCGGTAGTACAAAAATATATTTCACTGCAAAATGTCAGTATGCAGATGAGGAATGAAGTTTTTAAAAATATCTTCTAGAAAATGAATTTTTCACACTGTTTACCGGCTTAAAAAAGATGTAGAGACTGCTTTTAGCTCCCTTTCTCTATCTAGCTATGTGCTTTTTTTCCATGAGGACTGGTGCCTGCAGGTCAGCTGGTAGCTGTGATGCAGGTTACCACCACCCAAGGATCATTACACTGGTGCTTACCTGCTGGAGCTGGGCAGGTCTCTCCAAAATCCCAGGCTTTGGATCTCCAGCTCAGCTTTCAGGTGCAAGTGTAATTTTTGGTAACTGTTTTGGAATCTGACACTTCAAAAGACTTAAAACTGTTTTCAATACCAGTCTTTGAGACTCCTGTAGCTTTTGCATGTGTGTTTTTTGCACATTCTGGTTTTCAGTCTTTCAGACTTGACAGAAACACAACACAGTTTGGTTGCATAAGGATTTTTCTTTACACTGTTACTTCTGCTTTGAGGGATAAAGCAGAAAAGTACAACCTGAAGGTGACTTTGAACTTAAGAATCAGAATTGCAGAGGTTACTCAAATACTTGAGGTTTTGCTAGTTTGCTGGAGTTTGCTCACATCTGTGTGGAAGTTCCCTGTCCACAACTTCTGCTGCATGTGTAAGCTTATCCCTGACATTGAGTTAATGATTTGCGTTTCTTCAGTGTAACGTAACATCAGACCAGGTTCTTTGAATTCTATGCAAGTACTCAGAAATTTGACAAAAATACTGTTGTCTGAAATGTAAAGCAGAAAAATTAAGACTTATATAGTAGTCATTTGAGTCCCCAAGAAATCTAAATGCTAGTGATAGTCTGCACTTTGTCCCCAAATTGTCTGTTAGTGTATTGGCCTGCATTTGGGCTAAGTTCCCTCTTCCATTTCTGTCACCTTAAGCTGGGATT